GCCCAGCCCGGGGCGCCCGCCCACCGAGATGCCTCGGCCCCTCCTTTTTTGCGGGGGTGGACGCCTCTCGTGGCCTCGGCGCGCCGCGGGTATGCTACATACCTAGACGTTCAACTTGATTCCTTGCTTGCTCCTGCGTGTACTGCTCTGGGGTGTTTGGCCCGCCAGTGGAGCCCTGGGCTGTGAGCTGGCGTCCATTCCATTTTTTTTTCTCCTCCTCTTCTCCCTCCTCCTCTTCTCCTCCTCCTCTCCCGCTTCCGCCTCTGAGTTGATAGGATTCCGGGGATATGTTCTATCAGCCATGCTGCCGCATGAGTTTTAACTTAGTTTGCATGGTGAGTCTTCCTTTCTCCTGCCGTTGTGTGAGGCCTCATTGTATTAGTGGTCGATGGGACCATATATGGGGAGTGATGCACACACAGCGCCATGATCCTTTCGTCTTATTCGAGTAAGACGTTTTCTTTTTTCCTCCTCGTGCAAATGGTCCTGCCTCGCTGCACGGATTCCGTGACACATGCATTTTCCTCACTGTGCGAGTCCAGGGTTTTTGTATCGGGCCTGGCAGGCTGTGTGAGGCTGCGTGCGGCTGGCAGTCGGACTGGAGATATGTGGTGCTTTGCGAGAAAAAAAAACTTTGCTTGTGGTGATTCCAGGTTTCCCGTAATTCGACCCCCACAGCGGACTCCCCTGGTTTCCCGAAATTCGGAATTCGAATTGCGGGGAACCTTCCGCATTGTGGGAAATTGCTGCACCCTGGTATCCCACTAAGGAGTTCGAACAATGGGAAACTTGGAATCACAACGATGTTGTATTAGTGATTCCAGGAAACCTGGAGTTCGAATTATGGAACACTTGGAATCACTACGAAAATCATTGCTTTTTTGTTGTGATTCCAGTCTTTCCCTGCTTCCGAATTATGGGGAACTTGGAATCACAACGAAACATTGTTTTTTTGGTGGTGATTCCAGGTTCCCCGTAATTCAAACCCCCCAGCGGATTCTCCCCCCTAGTTTCCCGAAGTTCTGAATTCGAATTGCGGTGAGCCTTGCCCCTGGTTCCCAAAATCATGGGTTCGAATTATCGGGAATTTGGGATCACCACGAACAACAACCTTTCTTTGTAGTGGGAAACCTGAATCACTTACGAAAAGCCACCTTTTTTTCGTGGAAATTCCAGGTTTCCCATAATTCGGTTATGGGACACCTGGAGTTCGAATTATGGGAAGCCTGGAATCACAACGAACAACTGTTTTTGCGTGGTGATTCCAGATGTCCTACACTTCCGAATTATGAGAAACCTGGAATCTCCAGAAAGCCCGTCCTTGTTTCGTTGTCATTCCAAGTTTCCTGTAATTCGATCTGGGTAAACCTGGAATCACAAGGAACATATTTTTGTTTAGGTTTTTAGATTTCCCATAATGCGATTCTGGTAAACTTGGATTTCGAATTATGGAAACCTGGAATCACCATGACAACCCGCTTTTTTTGTTGTGACTTCAGGTTTCCCAGAATTTCTGAATGATGGGATACCTGGAATCACCACGCACCTCGTCTTTTTTGCTGTGATTCCAGGTCTCCCATATCTCGATGATGGGAAACCTGGAATTTGAACAATGGGACACCTGGACCCACTACGGAACATTATTCGTTGGGGGGTGATTCCAGGTGCCCCGTAATTAAAATTCCCCAGCGGGTTCTCCCTCTTGGTTTCCTTAAATTCTGAATTCGATTTGCGGTGAACCTTCCGCATTGTGGGAAATTGAGGCCGCCCCCCGGTACCCCAAGTGAGGGGTTCGAATTATCGGACACCTGGAGGCCACTTTTGTCATGAAAATTTGGGGGAGTTCGAATTATGAGGAGTACAGCCATTTGTTATATCGATTCCAGGGATACCATAACTCCGATGTCTGGGAGACTTGGAGTCACCACGGATTTTTTGTGTAGTGGTTGTAGGTGTCCCATAGTTCGATTATGGGCAATTTCGAAGATGAGTGATGGGCAACTTGGTATCACCACGCCCTCCTTTTTTGTTGTGATTCCAGGTTCCCCATAATTCCGAAGTATGGGAAACATGAAATCACCACACAAATTGGAATGATGGGAAACCTGACACGGGTGGCTTTTTCGTAGTGATTCCAGGTTTCCCAGACTTCGATCATGGAGAACCTGGAATTCGAAACAGCGTGCACTTCAGAGATCGCCTCTGGCGGCGCCTCCAGCGGCGACCCCAGCGCACTCCGCTCGCCAGGGACGGGGGTCCAGCGCCGACCCAATACGTAAAAGCTGCGCAGACCTCCGGAAGTTGATGCTCGGGCAGGCTTCCTTCTAGTGAGCGCCTGGAGCCGCCAAGCGTGTTTTGGCCTGCGTGCCCCTGCTCGGCTTTTTCACGAGATCCGCTGCCGTCTGTCCTCTCCGCGGCGCAGCTCCTGCCACGACTCGGCCTCCGCCCTCCCCCCTCCTCCTCCCCCCTCCTCCTCCTCCTCCTCCTCCTCATCCTCATCCTCATCCTCCTCCTCATCCTCATCCTCATCCTCCTTCCTCCTCCCTCCTCCTCCTCCTCCTCCTCCTCCTCCTCCTCCTCCTCCTCCTCCTCCTCCTCTTGTGCTCCTGTGGAGTTGTTGGCCTGGGGGCCGGGCAAGGGCACCCGCAAGCCGACGACTGATGTACCTGTCTTCCACCACCACCACCACCACAAGTTGGAGGGGGGAGGGGGTCCTCCTCCCTCTCGTCTTCTCCCTCCTCCTCATCCTCCACCTCCTTCCCTCCAAATTATGGTGGTAGTGGAACACAGACCCATCAAAGACTGTCAGACACTTTCCGCCGTGTTGCAGCTGCTGTTCTGCCATTTTCCACGACGCGATGGGGTCTGGGCCCTCCTCGTCTTCCACGCCCACCTCGTGCTCGACTTCTGAGTTCTCTCTCGCTTTCTTCCTCGCCTCCTCCTCCTCCTCCTCCTCCTCCAGACTTCTGGCTCTCTTTTCTGAGGGGAGATCTGGCCTGGAGCAGGTCCTACTGGCCCTGGGGCCCAGAACCAGGGCCCGGAGGCCGAGTGCAGGGCGCGGAATCCCGGATCCACTCCGAGCCGCCGACGCTTTCCGCCGCGCCCTCCTCCAGACTTCTGGCTCTCTTTTCTGAGGGGAGATCTGGCCTGGAGCAGGTCCCAGAGTCGCAGGCCCAGAGGTTGACACCAACACCAATATCGGCGGTGTGCCTCCACCGAGGGAAGAAGATCCCGATCTCGGTGATGGTGGTAATATTCTGGCGTCCAATGTGACCGAAGTATTGCGACCAACACTTAAATCGAGGATCATCTCCCCCCTGTGGAGGCAACGCCCTGAGTTGGTGTTGGTGCCCATGTCCAGGTCTCCAACAGGGGCTGAGTGCAGGGCGGACTTCCAGATCTATTCCGAGCCGCCGACGCTCCCCGCCGCGCCCGCGGGGGCAGCCCCGCTGCCCTGCATGCGGGGGGGGCAGACAGTGCCCGACGGCGCTCGCGCGCGCGGGCCGAGGCCTCGCGCGATTTGGGCTCGCCTGCTGCGGGGGGGGCCCCCTCGCGTGGCTCCAGGCCTGCCTGGAGCACCACTCTCTTCGGAGCAGCCCGCGCCTGCGCTGCGGAGATCCGGAAACTGGAACAGATATGTACACTACCAGTGGCGGGTTGCTTGTTCCATCCCGCGGCTTGTCGCAGGTCGGGGACGACGTCGGGGTGGGGTGGTGTATACTTGTTCCCCCGCTTTCCAAGGGAAACAACGAACAATGTATATCACTCACTCACTCACACCAAAATGTCCAAAGTTCCAAACATCAGGTATTAGTTGAAATACGCTGAGAACCTAGACGGTGCTCGCCGATTTGGCGTCTCATATTGGCACCGCGCAGCACATGAATGTGAGCAGTGCGGCAAACAATGTGTATATATATATATATATAGATATGTACACCAGGATCCCGTATACACCAACATCCGCGTTCCTGTGCGAATTTCTGCGCAGAGTCGGGAAGAGCGTCGGTGTACATAGATTTCGTTTGCCTAGAGATCGCCTCTGGCGGCGCCTCCAGCGGCGACCCCGGCGTACTCCGCTCGCCAGGGATGGGGGTCCAGCGCCGATCCACTGCGTAAAAGCTGCGCAGACCTCCGGAAGACGATGCTCGGGCAGGCGTCCTTCTCCTGGTCAGCAACCTGGAGCCGCCAAGCGTGTCTGGCCTGCGTGCCCCTGCCCAGCTTTTTCACGAGCCGCTGCTCCTCCCCCCTCCCCCTCCCCCTCCCCCTCCGCTCCCCTCCCTCCCCCTCCCCTCCCCCTCCCCCTCCTCCCCCCTCCCCTCCCCTCCTCCCCCCCCCCCTCCCCCCCCTCCTCCCCCCCCTCCTCCTCCTCCTCCTCCTCCTCCTCCTCGTTCCCCTAGAGCTCGCAGGAGCAGCAACGGCAGGACCGCAGAACTCTCGGAGCTCCACGCGGGCCGGCCTCTCCAGAGTCTGCCGCTCGTGCCGCGCGGTGTTTGCTCGAGGAAGTTCGCGTCTTCGCCGCCCTCCTCGCTCTGGGCTTACGCCGGGCCTGTCCCTCTACAGGGGGAATGTTCAAACATAGTCAACAATAGTCTGGGGATGATGTTTTTTTTTGTTTGCGTATCTTTTATGTTTCGCCGCACATCCCCCTGGTAGGGGGACACGCCCGATCTAAATCTAGGCCTCCCAGATGGGGTCCGAGTAGGTGGGGTCGGAGGTTCGCGCCGCATTGCCGATGCATCGGCGATGCGGCTCGATGTGGAGCCCGATTTTCTTCGCGCTGGCGTCGACGATGCACCGCCGACGCCGCCGACGCATCGCCGACGCACCGCCGATGCATCGATCGCCGATGTGTCGGCGATGCGGCGGGATCCTCCGACCCCATCTGCTCGGACCCCATCTGAGAGGCCTCTACAGTAGGGGTCTTGAAGAAGGAACCCTTTTCGTTGGGGAGGGGCTCCGTGTTCCTCGGCCCGCTCCCTCGGCGTTGAGCTGCCCAGGGTGGACCGGCTGGCGAGATCGCCGCTGGCGGGGGCGCCGGCGACGCCGGACCACAGCACGTCGAGGCCCGCGCTCCCGGCTTTTTCAGGTCGTCGTCGCTGCTGCTGTCGTCGTCGTCATAGAAGAGGCGGAGGAGGAGTAGGATGAATAGGAGGAGGAGGAGGAGGAGGAGGAGGAGGAGCAGTGTAAGCCAAAAGCGCAGCAACGAGGTTGCAATGCGTCCTCCCTCCAAGTTCCCTCGTCGTAGAAGAATGCGTGTTCATTGCGGTAAGTGGCCCATTATAGGACAAACGTTTGAGGATCCTCAATCGCGCCGAAGCACAAGTCCAGGGATTTCAGCGCCGCGGATCCACGTGACTGATAGTTCCTGACATTCCTACTCGTGCGCCAGAACGCCATTCCTGGGACCTCAGCGCCGCGGATCAACGTAGCTGTTGCGTCTTTAAAACCTTGAATCGCACCAGGACGCAATTCCTGGGACTTCAACCTTCGCAACGGCGCAGAACCCAAAGTCGACTACGCTCGGTGCTACAGCGAGACCCACATTTCGACAAGGAGCCTCCCTCCATATTTGAAGCTGCTGCGAATTTTTGCGACGCAGGTGCGCGGCGCAAGGGCGAAAACCAAATTATGCAAAGGGGCCGCCCTCCATCCTTGCAGCTGCTGCAGACTTTTAAGACGGATGTGCGCGGCGCAAGGGCCTTGGCATCGCTCGGACGTGTGCATTTTTCCTTCGGCGAGGACCATCGAGGAGCATCCTTGATCATTTGGCGAAAAAACCACGCACGAACCCGAAAAAAACACAGGGAATGGACGTCCGAGCGATGGCCAGGGGCGAGAGCCACATTTTGAAAAGAGCCGCCCTCCATCTTCGAACCTGCTGCATATCTGTAGGTCGGTTGTGCGCTGCGTTAGGGCGAGAACCACATTTTGAAAACGGCCTGCCCTCCATCCGTGGAGTGGTTGCATCTGTTTAAGGAGAATGCGCGCGGCGCTAAGGCACGAGCCATATTTGGGAATGGGGTCGCCTTCCAATTTTGAATTTGCTACAAACTGTTAAAGCGAATGAGTTTGACACTTTGGCGAAAGCCACATTTTGAACACGGGCGCGCTCCATGCTTGAAGCTGTTCCACACTTTTCAAACGAATATGCGCTGCGCTAAGGTTTGAGGCGAGGGCCACATTTTGAAAACAGCCTGCCCTCCATCAGTGAAACTGGTGTAATGATTAAGACGAGTGTGCGCGGCGCCAGGTCGACAGCCTCAATCTGCCAAACTTCCTGCACATCCCATGTTTCAGCATCATAAATGGTGAGGAAGTCTCCAGCTAACGCCCGGCCCGCCCTACGACACGTCTGCGTGTGGAGGTACGACATGGAGAGGTTGTTAATGAGGAACAGAGATGGAGCAGGAGGATGAGGAGACGACGGATAGAGGAGAGGAGGAAGGGGAGGCAAAAGGTTGAGGGAAGTAGGGAGTGACGAGGAGGGAAACAGGGGGATTGGGAGGAGGATAGGGGGAGGAGGGGGGGAGGAGGAGGAGGGAAGAGAAGGGAGCGGGGAGGAGAAGAAGGGGGGAAGAGGGAAATAGGGGAGAAGGAGGAGGGGGGAGGAGGAGTGACGATGAGTAAGAGGAGGAGAAGGCTGGTCATGATGATGATGAGGAGAAGGCGGAGGAGGAGGAGGAGGAGGAGACGGACCTTAGCAGCAGGAGGAGGGAGGTAGGAGGAGGAGGGGGGGGGGGAGTTGAGGGGTTGAGGAGGATGGTGAGGCTGAGTCAGTTCTCTCGGGACCGCTTCGCCACCACTTCTACTCGCCTCTGTTTTTTTCGTATTGTTTGCGGACTGCGCGTTGTCTGCATCCGCGCCCACCAGTTCGGCTAGTGCTCTTGCACTTCCATCTCCGTCGCTCCGCGGAGGAGGAGGATGGGAGGAGGAACGGAACATTGATAGGATGAGGGAGGGGGGGGGGAAAAGGATGATGATGGTGATAATGATGATGATGATGATGATGATGATGATGCTGATGATGATGATGATGATGATGATGATGATGATGATGATGATGATGATGATGATGATGATGATGTGATGATTGAGATGATGATGAGGATGAGGTGAGGATGAGGATGATGATGCGGATGAGGAGGAGATGAATGATGATGAGGGATGAGGAGGAAGATGGAGGAGGAGGTCGGGAGGAGGGGGGGAGGAGAAGGGAAGGGGAGGCGTGAGAGGAGTAGCGTGCTGAGGCTTAGGTGGTGGTGGAGGAGGAGGAGGAGGAGGAGAAGGAGGAGGAGGAGGAGGAGGAGGATGCGGAGGAGGAGGGGAGGAGGGAGACGTGAACTACGTCGGAGGGGGGAGGAATGTCTGTTGGTTGATATCAGTCGAGCTGTCTCGCTCTCTGCGCTACGGTTCCCACACGTTGCCATGCAGTTCGCCCGTTCGGTGTTTTTTTCCCAACCATCCTGTGGTGTTGGGTCCTCGTTTTGAAGAGACGTCGCCCCGCGTTCCTTCCTTCCCGCTGCCCCCTCCCTCCTCCCATCTTCATCATCATCGTCATCACCCATTTCGGCACACCCCTCACACGTTTCGTGGCCCCATAGGGAGCTCCACCGAAGGTCCCAGTGGGTGTGCCCGCATGCGTCCCGCACACCATTTCGGCACACCCCTCACACGTTTCGTGGCCCCATGGGAGGCTCCACCGAAGGCCCCAGTGGGTGTGCCCGCATGCGTCCCGCACACCCATTTCGGCACACCCCTCACACGTTTCGTGGCCCCATAGGGAGCTCCACCGAAGGCCCCAGTGGGTGTGCCCGCATGCGTCCCGCACACCATTTCGGTACCCCTCACACGTTTCGTGGCCCCATAGGGGAGCTCCACCGAAGGTCCCAGTGGGTGTGCGTCCGCACACCCATTTCGGCACACCCCTCACACGTCCGCACACCCATTCGCACATGCGTCCGCTCGGCATCACACGTTTCGTGGCCCCATAGGGAGCTCCACCGAAGGTCCCAGTGGGTGTGCCCGCATGCGTCCCGCACACCCATTTCGGCACACCCCTCACACGTTTCGTGGCCCCATAGGGAGCTCCACCGAAGGCCCCAGTGGCTGTGTCCGCATGCGTCCCGCACACCCATTTCGGCACACCCTCACACGTTTCGTGGCCCCATAGGGAGCTCCACCGAAGGCCCCAGTGGCTGTGCCCGCATGCGTCCCGCACACCCATTTCGGCACACCCCTCACACGTTTCGTGGCCCCATAGGGAGCTCCACCGAAGGTCCCAGTGGGTGTGCCCGCATGCGTCCCGCACACTCATTTTGGCACACCCCTCACACGTTTCGTGGCCCCATAGGGAGCTCCACCGAAGGTCCCAGTGGGTGTGCCCGCATGCGTCCCGCACACCCATTTCGGCACACCCCTCACACGTTCCGTGGCCCCATAGGGAGCTCCACCGAAGGTCCCAGTGGGTGTGCCCGCATGCGTCCCGTCGTCTCTCTGCCCAGCGGCAAGAGCCTTGCCCGCTATCAGCCAGCCAGCTAGCTCTTTTTGCTCCGCGCAGTGGACGACCCGCGCGCGTCGCTGGGACCCCTCCGGGGCGACCTGCGCGCGTCGCGGGGACTCCGCGCTGCGCTGCGCCCGCAACCTTGGACTTTTGAGTGCGCGGGCAAAGAGGGAGTAAAGGAAGGGGAGGAAGCGGGCGCGATCCTCGCCGGTGGGCGCGCCGACATTGGCGTCGCGGCGCGCGGGCGATGCCGTCGGGGAGTCCCGGGGAAGCTCCTTGCGGCGGCCACGCCCAGCGTCACGAGTACTCAGAGGCAGACATTGTCAAACTATTGACATTCATACACAATTGCGCCACGCTTTGTCATATTCGCATTCATGCACGTAGACTCGTTCGCACGCAGATTCATTCACAGTCAGACGCACGCGCGCAGATTCACCCGCGCTCAGTCTCCCTACGTACTCAGATCAATCGTTTTCGTTCGCGTTGTGTACCACGCCACTCATGTCGGCACACCCCTAGCACGGTTCGTTGCCTCATAGGGATCGCCACCGAAAAAGTGAATCACTATTGCGGTACTCACACCTGTATATGGTTGGGTCCCTCGTCAGGCTAATCTTTTTTGTTTCGTCTCTCTCGAACTCTCTCGCATGCGCACGCTTCCGCTGTCTCTGCAGTTAGATCCCCCCTCCCTGTCCCTCTTCCTCGCACCCACTCTCTCTCCTTCTTTCCTCCTTTGCCTCTCGCCGTCTCTCCCCTCCCTCCCCCTGGCATTCATCCTCTCTTCCCCCCCTCTCTCTGCTCCCCCTCTGTCCTCCCCCCCTCTCTCTTCCTGTCCCTCCCCAGCACGTTCTCATATAAGTCTTTGTTTGTGATCTTCCCCATTTCTATACATCTAAATAAAGTGGTGTGCTCGCTCTCTCTTTCTCTTTCCCTTTTCCTCTCTGTCTTTATCTCTTTATGTCTTATTGTTTGGTTAGTTCTTTATTTCTTTGTTTCTTTCTCTCTCTCTCTCTCTCTCTCTACATATATATATATGGATGTATGCACATAGATCGCTCTCTTCCGGGTGTCACTATGACACCTTGTATGTCCCCACGCATATATGTGTCTAATAGGTATGACCCCTCTCTTTTGCTCTCATTTTTTCCCCAACCATCCTGTGGTGTCGGGTCCTCGTTTTGAAGAGACGGTGGCCCGCGTCTCCTCTCCTCCTCTTCTCCTCTCCTCTTCTCATCTCCTCCTCCTCCTCCTCCTCCTCCTCCTCCTCCCACCATCATCATCGTCATCACCCATGTCGGCACACCCCTCACAAGTTTCGTGGCCCCATAGGGAGCTCCACCGAAGGTCCCAGTGGGTGTGCCCGCATGCGTCCCGCGCACCCATTTCGGGACATCCCTCACACGTTTCGTGGCACCATAAGGAGCTCCACCGAAGGTCTCAGTGGGTGTGCCCGCATGCGTCCCGCACACCCATTTCGGCACACCCCTCACACGTTTCGTGGCCCCATAGGGAGCTCCACCGAAGGTCCCAGTGGGTGTGCCCGCATGCGTCCCGCACACCCATTTCGGCACACCCCTCATACGTTTTGTGGCCCCATAGGGAACTCCACCGAAGGTCCCAGTGGGTGTGCCCGCGTGCGTACCGCACACCCATTTCGGCACAACCCTCACACGTTTCGTGGCCCCATAGGGAGCTCCACCGAAGGTCTCAGTGGGTGTGCCCGCATGCGTCCCGCACACCCATTTCGGCTCACCCCTCACACGCTTCGTGGCCCCATAGGGAGCTCCACCGAAGGTCCCAGGGGTGTGGCCAGCATGCGTCCCGCACACCCATTCGGCACACCCTCCACGTTTCGTGGCCCCATAGGGAGCTCCACCGAAGGTCCGTGGGTGTGCCCGCATGCGTCCCGCACACCCATTTCGGCACACCCCTCACACGTTTCGTGGCCCCATAGGGAGCTCCACCGAAGGTCTCAGTGGGTGTGCCCGCATGCGTCCCGCACACCCATTTCGGCACATCCCTCACACGTTCCGCGGCCCCATAAGGGGGCTCCGCCGAAGGTCCCAGTGGGTGTGCCCGCATGCGTCCCGCGCACTCATGTCGGCACACCCCTCACACGTTTCGTGGCCCCATAGGGAGCTCCACCGAAGGTCCCAGTGGGTGTGCCTGCATGCGCCCCGCACACCCATTTCGGCACACCCCTCACACGTTTCGTGGCCCCATAGGGAGCTCCACCGAAGGTCCCAGTGGGTGTGCCCGCATGCGTCCCGCACACCCATTTCGGCAACCCTCACACGTTTCACCTGGCCCCATACGTTTCCGTGGCCCCATAGGGAGCTCCACCGAAGGTCCCAGTGGGTGTGCCCGCATGCGTCCCCGCACCACCCATTTCGGCACACCCCTCACACGTTTCGTGGCCCCATTAGGGAGCTCCACCGAAGGTCCCAGTGGGTGTGCCCGCATGCGTCCCGCACACCCTTTCGCACACCCTTCACACGTTTTGTGGCCCCATAGGGAGCTCCACCGAAGGTCCCAGTGGGTGTGCCCGCATGCGTCCCGCACACCCATTTCGGCACACCCCTCACACGTTTCGTGGCCACATAGGGAGCTCCACCGAAGGTCTCAGTGGGTGTGTGCGCATGCGTCCCGCACACCCATTTCGGCCCACCCCTCACACGTTTCGTGGCCCCATCGGGAGCTCCACCGAAGGTCCTTGTGGGTGTGTAATTTCGGCACACCCTTCACACGCTTCGTGGACCCATAGGAGCTCTGCCGAAGGTCCCGGTGGCACAGTCCGCACGCGCCCCCGCCATTCATTTCGGCCCACCCCTCACACGCTTCGTGGCTTCATAGGGGCTCCGCCGAAGGTTCCAGTGGAACAGTCCGCATGCGTCCCCGCCACTCATGTCGGCACACCCCTCACACGTTTCGTGGCCCCATAGGGGGCTCCGCCGAAGGTCCCATTGGCACAGTCCGCATGCGTCCCCGCCGCTCATTTGAAAACACCCCTCACACGCTTCGTGGCCCCATAGGAGCTCCGCCGAAGGTCCCGGTGGCACAGTCCCGCATGCGTCTCCGCCATTCATGTCGGCCCACCCCTCACACGTTTCGTGGCCCCATAGGAGCTCCGCCGAAGGTCCCGGTGGCACAGTCCGCATGCGTCCCCGCCATTCATTTCAGCACACCCCTCACACGTTTCGTGGCCCCACAGGAGCTCCACCGAAGGTCCCCGTGGCACAGTCCGCATGCGTCCCCGCCATTCCTGTCGGCACACCCCTCACACGTTTCGTGGCCCCACAGGAGCTCCGCCGAAGGTCCCCGTGGCACAGTCCGCATGCGTTCCCGCCACTCATGTCGGCACACCCCTCACACGTTTCGTGGCCCCATAGGGAGCTCCGCCGACGGCCCCCGTGGCGCAGTCCGCATGCGTCCCCCCATTCATTTCGGCACACCCCTCACACGTTTCGTGGCCCCATAGGAGCTCCGCCGAAGGTCCCAGTGGCGCAGTCCGCATGCGTCCCCGCCATTCATTTCGGCACACCCCTCACACGTTTCGTGGCCCCATAGGGAACTCCACCGAAGGTCCCCGTGGCGCAGTCCGCATGCGTCTCCCTTGCCCAGTACAGCGTTACGTGGCCCCATATGGAGCCCCACCGCAGGTCCCAGCCAGCCAGCTAGCTTTCTTTGCTCCGCGCAGCGGGCGACCCGCGCGCGTCGCTGGGACCCCTCCGGGGCGACCTGCGCGCGTCGCGGGGGCTCCGTGCTGCGTTCTGCCCAGCGCCTCGCTCGCCCGACGTCGCTCCGCTCAGCGGCAAGAGCTTTGCCCGCTATCAGCCAGCCAGCTAGCTCTCTTTGCTCCGCGCAGTGGACGACCCGCGCGCGTCGCTGGGACCCCTCCGCGCGCGTCGCGGGGACTCCGCGCTGCGCTGCGCCCTCAGCCTTGGACTTTTGAGTGCGCGGGCAAAGAGGGAGTAAAGGAAGGGGAGGAAGCGGGCGCGATCCTCGCGGGGGGGCGCGCCGACATTGGCGTCGCGGCGCGCGGGCGATGCCGTCGGGGAGTCCCTGGGAAGCTCCTTGCGGCGGCCACGCCCACGCCCAGCGTCACGAGTACTCAGAGGCAGTCATTGTCAACTATTGACATTCATACACAATTGCGCCACGCCTTGCCACATTCGCACTCATGCACGTAGACTCGCTCGCGCGCAGATTCATTCACATTCAGACGCACGCGCGCAGATTCACCCGCGCTCAGTCTCCCTACGTACTCAGATCAATCGTTCTCGTTCGCGTTGTGTACCACGCCACTCATGTCGGGACACCGCTAGCACGGTTCGTTGCCTCATAGGGATCGCCACCGAAAAAGTGAATCACTATTGCGGTACTCACACCTGCATATGGTTGGGTCCCTCGTCAGGCTAATTATTTTTCTCTCTCTCTCTCTATTTTTCTCTCGCTTCCTGTTTCTGTTTATTATGTATATGCTTGGATCGCAGCACGACTGTACATTATTTGTTGCTTACATGTGGTTCCTGTATTCTTCTTCCTTGGCCCAAGATGTAGTTTGAATCGGTTCGGCAGCTCTGACATATCACCTCGCTGTACATGCAAGCGTTGCAGGACACAGTGCGGCATCCTCTACTACAGCGCTGACCACCGTCCCTATTATAGCGCCTACTACGGCTCCGAATGCAGTCCTCCAGCCGCCAGGCCCACAAAAATGACTGTTGGCACAATGTCCAGCAACCCAGGGACCTTCCCCCCTCAGGAAGCGTGCCGTCTTACATCTTCATCCCCCTCCTCCCACTCCTCCCCCTCCTGCCCTTTTTCCTCCTTCGGCCACTATCCACCTCCTCCTCCTCCTCCTTTTCCTTCGCCTCCTCCCGCTCCTCGTCCTACTTCTCCTCCTTCTCCTCCTCGTCCTCCTCCTCCTCCTCCTCCTCCTTCTTCTCCTTAGCCTCCGTCTCCTCGTCGTCGTCGTCGTCGTCCTCCTCCTCCTCCTCTTCCTCCTCCTCCTCCTCCTCCTCCTCCTCCTCCTCCTCCTCCTCCTCCTAGGTGGCACAGTTTTCGAATTTTCCCCTGGTCGCTGGGTGCGTAATCTGCGCGGGCTGGGCCCAGGAAGGCCATCTCTTGCAGTCCCAGGCTGGATTGGGCAATGCTGTTTTGCAGTTCTTGCAGGGGTAATGCACTTCAGCAGCTGGCAACACCTGGGCACAAGTGTGTGGATTCTGCATCAAGCAATCGCACATATTACCTCCCTCGACCCTCGAATGGTGCCTGGCATGAGGCTCACAGTAGAGCTGAGCTTGTTAGGAAACACAGACTTGATGGCTTTATCCCAAGTGTTTCCCTTTCGCTCCCCCGTGACTTTCGGTGGCCAGAAAACACTTGCTCCCTGGAGTGGCCGACACAGTCGCCGTACCCGTAAAATTCCTCCTCCCCTCCTCCATTTCCGCCCTCCCTCCTCCTCCTCCCTCCTCCTCCTCCCCCTCCTCCTCCATCCGCCTTCTTTCTCATCTCCCCTCCTTCTTCTCCTCCTCCTCCTCCTCCTTCTCCTCATTGTGGTCCTCCTCCTCCTCCCTCCCTCCCTCCCTCGCTCTCATTCCTCTGTCTCTCTCTCTCTCTCTCTCTCTCTCTCCCCCTCGCCCTCCTTTCATCCCTCCCTTCCTCCCTCCACCTCCTCTTCTCTCTCTTTTCCTCGGGCGCCCGGCGAGGACCGAGCGGGGCGAAGACCGCATACCCGCCCTTATCGACCGGACCCTCGTGAGGAGCGGGTCGAAGGACCCCCGGTAGCGCCGCGGGCCGTGAAGGACCGCGGGCGGTCGGCGCGCTCGAGGCCCTCGCGCTCCCTCGCGCTCCCCAGACCTCCTCGCGTCGTGCAGAACTTCGGCGGCGAGCGAGCGGGGAAGTGAGGAGGAAAAGGCCTTCTCAGGAGGTTCGGAAGGCCCCCAGCCTTCCGAGAAGCTTTCTTTAGCCTCCCCCGAAGGCAAAAAACGATTCTCAGAAGGCCGGAGGCCTGAAGTCCCGCCGCCTTCTCAGAAGGCATTATACTTCTCACTTCCCCCCCTCGCTCGCCGCCGAAAAATCGCGAAGGGTTATTTTTCCCAACCACCCTGTGGTGTTGGGTCCGCGTTTTGAAGAGACAGTCCCCGCGTTCCTCCTCTCCTCCTCCTCCCCCTCCTCCCCCTCCTCCCTCTTCCATGCGTTTCACCCACAAAGCACAGCGTTTCGCGGCCCCATAGGGAGCTCCGCCGAAGCCCCCAGTGGGACCGCCCGCATGCGTCCGCCACCACCCAGCACAGCCCTTGCTCCGTGCGTTTCACCCACCCAGCACAGCGTTTCGTGGCCCCATAAAGAGGGCTCCACCGAAGGTCCCAGTGGCACCGCTCGCATGCGTCCGCCACCACCCAGCACAGCCCTTGCTCCGTGCGTTTCATCCACCCAGTACAGCGTTTCGTGGCCCCATAGGGGGCTCCACCGAAGGTCCCAGTGGCACCGCTCGCATGCGTCCGCCACCACCCAGCACAGCCCTTGCTCCGTGCGTTTCACCCACCCAGTACAGCGTTTCGTGGCCCCATAAGGGGGCTCCGCCGAAGGTCCCAGTGGCACCGCCCGCATGCGTCCGCCACCACCCAGTACAGCCATTGATCCCTTCGTTTCACCCACCCAGTACAGCGTTTCGTGGCCCCATGAAGAGGGCTCCACCGAAGGTCCCAGTGGCACCGCCCGCATGCGTCCGCCACCACCCAGCACAGCCCTTGCTCCGTGCGTTTCACCCAGCCAGAACAGCGTTTCGTGGCCCCATAGGGGGCCCCACCGAAGGTCCCAGTGGCACCGCCCGCATGCGTCCGCCACCACCCAGCACAGCCCTTGCTCCCTGCGTTTCGCCCACCCAGTATTGCGTTTCGTGGTCCCATAGGGAGCTGCATGCGTCCGCCACCACCCAGCACAGCCCTTGCTCCGTGCGTTTCACCCACCCAGTACAGCGTTTCGTGGCCCCATAGGGAGCGCCACCGAAGATATTCACAATTGCGGTACTCACAACTGCATTTGGTTGGGTCTTTCGCCAGGCTACTTTGTCAGTTTCGGCCTGTGGGGCCCTCACGGGGCCCCAGGACCTTCGAAAAACCGGGCCGTTGTGCAAAACCAGCCCTGGGGAAGGGGTCCAGACCCGTGGCGAGAAAATCACGACGTCAGAGGTTCGTGTTTGCTTGGCGGCGCGCAAGGGTGGGTGGTGCGAACTCCGATGCCGCTGGCGTGTTTGGGGTCGGACGGACAGGGTGGGCACCAAATCTGCTGGATGCCGCTGATTCGGCCCCGCCAGCAGGCGCTTTCTTCGATGCCTGGGCGCCTAAGGTGCCCAGGGGCGCTGGGCTGATGCGCCCCCCCCTCCCCCCCCTTGCTATGCTCCCCCTAATGTCTGCCCCGAGTGCTGTCCTTTCCAGGGCCATGTTGGTAAGGTTGGACACGGGAACTACAGCTCAGCCTCGGCACGAATTCTGCCTTTATGCTGCCTCCCGGCGTGGGGCGCCCTCCTCCGAATGTGCGAGCCAGATGCTCTTTCCCTGGTGCGTCTTCTGCGCGCCAGCGAGGCACAGTCTGCGGCGCCTCGCGACGGGTGGGTACAGGGCAAGTGAGAGCCCAGACCCTCGACGTCGTGCTTTCTTCAAGACGTAGCCCCCCAGAGGTATGGACCCCTTCCACGGGACCGTCTTTTCATCCTGAGTCATTTCTTGACGGTCCCGAGGCCCTGGAAGGGCCCCCGGAGGCCGAAGATAGCGAAACACCTCCCGTCGTGAGTTTGTCCACGACGCGAGGAGGCCTGGAGGAGGGTCTGGAGGAGGAGGAGGAGGAGGAGGAGGAGGAGGAGGAGGAGGAGGAGGAGGAGGAGGAGGAGGAGGAGGAGGAGGGAGGAGAGGGAGGAGGAGGAGGAGTTTAGCTTGTGGGAAAAAGGGGCCTCGTCCCTTATTTAGGGTTCCTTAGGTCAACGCCCCGACTGTACTCCGCCGCGAGGGGGCAAGTGAGGGGGCAGCCTGCCCAGAAGGACCTCACCCTCGCCCTCCCGGGAGCCCCTGTGGCCATCTGGGAGAGGGCTCTCCGAGAGGCGGCGCCCCTGCCACCTCTCGCACCACCCCCAGTCTTCGGGTGTTGCCAGCAGCCTTTTTTTTCGATTCGGGCATGATGGGCCCCTGTGCCACCACCACTACCACAGGTAGGAGAGGGAGGAGGAGGAGGAGGAGGAGGAGGAGGAGGAGGAGGGAGGAGGAGGAGGAGGAGGAGGCGGAGGAGGAGGCGGAGGCGGAGGCGGAGGCGGAGGCGGAGGCGGAGGAGGAGGAGGAGGAGGAGGAGAAGGAGGAGGACCTCATCCTCCCTTCTCCTCCGTCCTACGTACGGTAGTGGTGGTGGAAAATTTGCCCACCAGGGCAAGTTTACTTGCATGGCATACGCCCACCCACCCCCCACCCCACCCACCCCTCCCTCGCCCCTCTTCAGACGAATGCTGGCGTGTAAGTGCCCTTCGACTTGCGTGTTTTTTTTCTGCACTTGCAGGTCGCTTGCGGCTTACTTCAGGTTCGAGCCTCCCCCGTCCGTGCCAGCTAAGCTGCTGAAGCCTCAGCAAGCTCACAGGCTCTAGAGCTACCCCCGGCCCGAGGCACCTCCAGGATCCCAGGACTCTTAAAGGGTGCCCCAGGTGGCCTCCAGGGCACCCCCCACGAGGCCCAGAGGGCCCCATGGGGCTCCGAAGTGGAGCGAGAAGCCCGGGGGCACACCTCGGGCCGGGGGCACTTCCGGCAGCACCCGCAGCTCCGCGCCCCCCCGCCGTGGACGTGTAGCGCTGCAGTACGGTAGGTTCGCGTCGTGTCGACCAGCGGCGACTCCGCCAGCGGCGTTCAACTTTGAACGCCGCGGGCGATCCAGAATCGTTCGATGTGGAACGATTTGGACGTTTCGGAAACGGCCGATCGTGAAAGGTTGAACGATCCCCGCAGTGTCAGAGACCAACGTCGGGGTCGACACGACGCGAACCAGCCGTAGGCCTCGGGGCGTGAGGCGGGCGGCGCTCGCGAGGCTCCGGGTGCCCCGGCTGCCCGGCCCCCAGCTGCAGCGTCGGGAACATGCAGCCAAGACCGCCTGTCTTCTCGGCGGCGAGCGAGGGGGGGGAGTGAGAAGGAGAAGGCGGCGGGACTGCTCAGCAGCCCCCGCGCCTTCTGAGGAGTTGCTTTATTCTGTCTTCGGGGGAGGCCGAGGAGCCTTCTGCGAAGGCCAGGGGGCTTCCGAACCGTCTGAGGAGGCCTTCTCCGTCGCACTTCCCTCCCCTCGCTCGCCGCCGATTTTCCCTCCCATCGGCTTGCCGAAGGTGGCTTGCTCTCGTTTCCGAAGCTGGCGGGTGCCGGGGCGGCGCTGGCTGGCTCTCTCCCTGGGTTTGCTTTGTCGGGTGTCTGTCTTGTTCACGAAGTGGCGACGCGTCCTGTCTTGTCTATACGATAGGCCCACCGAAGAATGTTATAAGAACCTTTTGTGGTCTGTACGGAATGCTCTAAGATTAGTTCTGGCTGAGACCGTCTTGTTGTACCTCATCGGGTCTATGTTCTAAGAACATTGCTTTTATTATTAAACATATGTTTGGGTTCTAAAAGCATTTCGTGGAAGGCCTACAGGAATGCCAGAACGGTCCGTCCCTGCTCAATTTGTGGCATTCCCCAAATCCCTGGGGGCCATCCGGCTGCGAAGAGCAGAAAGTGTGCGTGCTAGTGGGACTTCGCGCGCGCGCGTCTGTCCATCGCGCGCCCTTGTCCTCGTTCCCCGTCTCCCCGCCGCGCATGTCGCGGCATCGGTTCGTCACATCTCGGGCCGCCTCGCGCAGCAGTGCAGTCGGAGTGCCGAACCAGAAGCCACCCTGCCAGCACGTGCCCCGCGGAGCTTCCCTTCCTTCCGGCGATCCCCCTTTTGCACTGCTTGGAGCGGGCCCCCCCTGAAACCCTCAGATCGGCCGAACAATGTGCCCTCTCGTTGCTGCCAGCTTCTCACCGGATGCGCCCCCCTGTGCTACTTACTTCAGGAGGAGAAAAAACACACAGACACAATGAATCGTCGATTTCCCAGAAAATATAAGAAAATATGGGAAGTGGGGGGGAAGACAGAAGCCCAGAATATATGAGGAATATTTTTATTTGTGTGTATTTATTTGTGTGTCCTGGGGCCCCTTCATTACTCCGCCGCGGCGCTCCCTCCGTGACCCTGCCGCAGCAGCGAGCCCGCCCGCGCGCGTGCCCGCCGGCGCAGCGCCGCGCGCGCGCGTGGACGAGAGCACCTTCCCCTCTCGTCCAGCTCAGGATGCGGCTCCTGGGAGGTCACTTCAGCATCGGCGTTGGCACACCCGTCGTTGAAAGTCAGAGCCCCGAACCATCAGGGGTAGCTCGGGTCAGGGCTAACTCGGGTTCGTTTTTCGGGAATCCGAACCCGACTTACCCCGGACCCGACTTACCCGGGATAATTCGGGCGTCCAGAGCCCCGAATCATCAGGGGTAGCTCGGGTCAGGGCTAACTCGGGTTCGTTTTTCGGGAATCCAAAACCGAATCACCCCAGACCCGAGTTACCCCCCGGATAGTCCGGGCGCCCAAAAAAGCCAGCCTGCTCTGGCAGTCCTGTTGGATCCGGCTGACTCCCAGTCCCGCTCAGAACGGCTTCATTCTTGGTTCCATTCGGCCTAGTCCAGCTCAGTGGCCCCTGAAGCGGGCTTTGAAGCGCCCAACCGTGCGTACGAAGACATCCCAGGAGTTGCCTCCTCATCCAGCTCCCGCCCATGCCTCTCGCTTGCGCCTGCATGCTCGTCGGGCAAAAGTCGCCTTGACGACGCAGCGCGCTGGCCTTTCCGCTGTCCCGCGCGCGCCCGCCAGAAATGATCGGGGGCGCCGCTGCCCATCTGTCCGCATCCGTGATGGCGATCCAGCCCACGAAAGGCACTAGCAAGTACGACCCTCCTTTCCCTCCTATGCCGTCCTCTGCCCTCCTCGCGCCGCGCCTCCACCCGCTCTCTCAGGTCCCATCTTCCCTTGTGCGTTGCAGGCGGGCCGGCGGCTGGCATGACCCGCGAGCGCTCCACGCGTGTGCGCGTGCGGGGTGCATGCCCCAAGGCGCCCTCTCCTGTGTGGTCTCCCTGTGTGCTCTGCTCCCCCCCACCCCCGCACCCAGAAATTTTGAGAGCCCGACCCCTGATACTGTGTGCGAAGTCCGCTCATATCACCATTGTATCCTTATCTACCGCCGACGTCTCGGCTCAGGTATTGGTACAAAGCATCGCGCTGCCTCATACGCAGCGCACTGGAAAAGGATTCGCGACCCTCTTCCTTTCCTACCACTACCTACGGGAAACACAGTAGGTTCGACTCTTCGGTCGTTAACCTACTTCCACAGATACCCCCCTGGTTGTTCGATCGCATGCGCACCCCACCCCTGCGGGTCCACTCGCCGCTGGGGTGTCGGTCACTCTCGCTGGGGGTCCTTTGGCTGCGGACGTGTCTTCGGCCTCTGAACCCCAGCTGGCGGTTCGGACATCCGACCTGCAAGGGCAGGGTTCGCACGCGGTTGTCCACTAGAGCCTCCCAGAACCCCACAGGATCCTCCACAACCTTTATGAGGCCCCCCAAGACACCCCTGGGGATCTCCCTGGACCCTGGCACTCGCCCATGGACCTCCCTGGGAGTCTCCCTTCTCTTGCTCCCAACATCTGGGAGCCTCTTGAGTCCGCCTGCCCCACGTCCGAGATCCTATACGACCGCACTGGTCGATCGCGGGTGCGTCGGTCAATCCCCTCTGGCTAGTACCTCCTCCTCCTCCTCATCCTTATCCCCGCTGCTGCTGCTGACCTTTCTCGTAGTTCCAGGCGTACGCAAAACCTTTATACCTTTGATCCTCGATCCTCCTCTTCCTCCTCCTTCTCATCCTTTCCTCTTCTCTTCTGAACCGCAGACACAACGGTGCCTGAGTACATCTGCGGCGTAACTCGGGCCGGACGAACGGGGGGGATTGGGAAAGGGGGGCTACGAAATTTGCTGCATGCAGCTGGTTTCGGCCCCACCGAGGGGTCCATTCCTCGATACATGGGCGCCTCCCAGCGCCGGGAGGCGCCGTGAAAAGCAGAGCCCCCCTTTGCTATCCCCCCCTTTCGCCCGACCCGAACAACATGGAACGCCTCCTCCTCCGCCTCTCCCCTCCTCTTCCTCTTCCTCCTCCGCCGCCGCATCCTCCTCCTCCTCCTGCTCCTCCTCCCTCTCCTCCTCCTCCTCCTCCCCTCCTCCTCCTCCTCCTCCTCCTCCTCCTCCTCCTCCTCCTCCTCCTCCTCCTCCTCCTCCTCCTCCTTCCCTCTCTCCCTCCTCCTGCCATCCTGTAGTCAGGCAGGCGCTGGGCGTGGAGAGCGCCTCGGCCTCACGGCTGCGCCCAGAAGGACCTCGGACCTCGCCACGCGGGCTCCGACGAAGGGGGCGGTCGGGTCGCGCATGCGCGCCTGGTGCTCCGCCGCAGTCCGGGCAGGCTCTGCAGCTCGGCGGCTCCTCCTCCTCCTCCTCCTCCTCCTCCTCCTCCTCCTCCTCCTCCTCCTCCTCCTCCCCCTCTTCCCTGAAGGCTTGTTCCGGGCCTCCGGGCCCAAACATCACCCAGAGACGCACCAGTGTCCCCAGAGGGCCCCAAGAGAGCCCCAAGAGGGCGCCCATGGCTTTCATGCGGCGGCGGCGTCATCGGGCGTCCTATGTGGAAAGCCTCCAGTGGCCGCGAGTCGGCCGATGCCTATCGATCTGGCCGTCGGAGCGCCACGACCGTTCCAGGTTGAATGGTCCGCGGATGTGTGTGTGTGTGTGTCAGAAACGACGACGTCATCGCGACATGGAGCCCCTGTTAGTGAATTGCGTCGCTTGTCCCACCAGCCCGTCTGGCGACCAGCATGCCGCTGTCGCACTTCGCGGTAACGTACTCAGGCCTCGCTTGGAATGGCCAGATCTCGTCTGATCGCGCGTGGTCTGATTCTCAGCGGTCCTTCGTCGGGGACATTCGTACTGTTGTGGTCTGGTAGGCTTCATGCTGCCTGATGTGGTTTGGTCTGGTCAGGTCGAACCTCGTGGATCTGACCCCTGGACGCACGTGGTTGCAGGCGGGCAGGCGTCCCCGATCGGCAATCGAGGGGAGTGCCTTCCCTTGAGGGGCTCCCCCTCTCCCTCCCCTTCGCTCGTGCATTCCCCCTCGAATTCCCCAGACAGTGCTGGCACTAACGGCAGGAGGAGGAGGAGGAGGGGATGGAGGAGGAGGAGGAGGAGGAGGAGGAGGAGGAGGAGGAGAAGTAGGATGAGGAGGAGGAGGAGGAGGAGGAGGAGGAGGAGGAGGAGGAGTGCTGGCAGACAAGAGAGTCACTCGCTTTACCAGGTGATCGCGCGCCCGTCGCCACCCTCGTCGCCGGCTCGTTCGCTGGCCGGCTTTGCCGTGCCCTTTGCGCGTCGGGCGCCCGCCGCAACATTCGCCGCTGCCCCGTGCGTTGGCTGCCACCGCCGGCTGTGCGCGCGGTTGGAGCCCGTCGCCGCTTCGGCCTCGTCGGGTTCATGGGTTTTTGGGTTTCTGCGGGCACGCACCACGCAGCTCACACCACGTATGCTGTATATTCTCCCTTCGCAATGAAGATATGATCCACCCCCCTCCCGAGCTCGGACTTACAGGCCCCCTCCGGGGCATTGCAAAGCACATCTGAGTCTTCCTTATCGTTCATTGTCTTCCTGAGTTCAACCCATCCCAGCCAAGCCACTATCGCCCCCTCCCTCGTCATCCCTGTCAAATATTACTATGCGCACACTCTCGTTCATCTCAACAATTTTTGTTCGAAACACCCTTCGCGCGCACTCCGAAATCATATTACACACCCAGTAAACTTGCAAGTATTTCAACATCGAAACACCTAGGTTGTTCGTCAACCATCGGGCAGATGTTCTGCCCGCGCGAACTTGCTGACATGTTTCGAACACCATCTGACTTTAGCAATCTGGTCCACAAGCCGCATTCTTATCCGCGGTGCGCCCGCGTTGCTCCAGCATGCGCCAACCGCACGAAATCATATCAAATACTTCCATTCGGTCCACTCGCGCCTGCCGCCACGCGCACGTGCCGAGATCCTTCCCAAACCATTGCATGTCAAAGCGTTTCAAGCTGAAACTCTGCAATAACATATGAATACCACTTGTTTTCCAACATAACGTTTGCCAGGTTTCTTGAATTTCTGTGCGCGCGCACTTTCTGACTATCACCCTCATCAGCGCCATCGCATCACCGCCGTCATCGTCATCGTCAATTGCAGGCATTGCCGCCATCATCAACCACCACCTTTATCACCTACACATGGGCATCATCGTCGTCATCGTCGCCACCAGCATCGGGTCCGTCATTGGCCTTGCCGTCATCATCGTCATCATCGCCACCGCCATCGGTGCTATCATCATCGTTGCCGCCACTGTCGATGGCGTCATGGCGCCGTGCCCGCCCGATCCACCGACCCGCTCTGAAGTGCCCGCGCGCCAGCGCGGCCTCTGAGACGCGCTGGGAAGTTCCCACCGGCAAGCGCCATCGCGGCCGCACCAGCTGCCCCAAACCAGCTGGTCGCTCTGCGCACGAGCTCTTGCGCGTGCCTGTGCGGCCAGCGCCAGGCACATCCGCATCCGCGGCCGCATGGGTTCTGCGCAGCAGGTTGCGGGTGGGAGGGTGGAGTGTTTGCTCGAGCGGTGGGGTCGGCAACCCACGACCTACGACAGCGTATGCCGGATCGGTCTCATCACATAGCTCGCTCTGCCTAGCTGGCCTGGCGCACACATGTTGCGCCACGTGGATTGCGCCAGGTATGTTAAGCCATGTATCGTGCGCCGAACAGCTTGCCCAAGAAGGGTTGCACCTCGCAGCCTGCACAAGAGAGGTTGTTCCAAACACCATGCACCAAACACGACATATGTACCACATACGTCGCATCACACTACCACCTAGCTGAACCACGTTGTTCGCACCTCATGCATACAGGTCTATAGATCCATCGCACCACACCGATCGACCACATCGATTGCAAGACATCGATTGTTACACCATAGCCTGCACCCTTTAGCTGCCAGCACATATCTTGCGCCACACGTTTCGAACCACATCGGTTGCCTCATATGGCTTTCATACTACAGATTTCACCACATAGTTTGCGCCACGTCGTTTGGGCCATACATATCCTGCAGCACATACTGCGCATCTAGTTCAGCACACCGATTCGGCCACATTTAGCACCACCTACACTGCCTCACTGATATTGCCTCACGTATCTCGTACCGCATATGTTGCACCGTTTGGGTTGGCCCATACAACTTGCACAGCAGAGCTTGCACCGCGTTGGCCACGTCGCATGACCAGTACCAAATTCGTTGGACAACATCATGTGCACCACACATGCATGTATATATATAATAAAGGTATAACCCTGGAGTTTAGATCCCGCAGAGGCCAGGGTTGAAAATACCCGTGCGCGCTTGTTTCCCATAGTATGTTGCACGATGTTTTTCACACCAGTGAACATAATTCGAGGCCAGCCAGTACCGACCCCACCCCCAATAACATTGTGCGGCGCGCGTGCGTTCTGTGTCGGGTTACCCAGTCGCAAGTGCCAGATTGGACCAGATTGGAGACGTGTGGGCGGGGGGATAGAGGAAGGGGGATAAGCTAAACCCTCCTCCAGGGATTGCAGGGATTGCGGGGAGGACATTCGGAAACAACCCTAGGCGACCGGCCGCCCTGAGGGCTGGGGGGACATCTTGCGGCCAGGAAGATGAGAAGGAGGAGGAGGAGGAGGAGGACCGGGAGAGGGGGCAGTTGGAGAAGGAGGGGGGGAAATGAGGATTATTCAATCGCTTCGCTCATTTCGCCGGCCCATGTTGCATGATCGCTACTGCTTCGCCGTGGGCCCAGGGCCATTGTGGCGCCGCCGAGGAGGAGGAGGAGGAGGAGGAAGATGAGGATGGGGAAGGGGAGCGGAGGAGGAGGAGAGGATGCGAAGGAGAGGAGGAGGATGAAGATAAGTAGGAGGAGGAGGAGGAGGAGGAGGAGGAGGAGGAAGGGGAAGGGGCGGAGGAGGAAGCCTCTCGTTGGCATCTTGTGTTGCTCTTGGGGCCAAACAGGGTCGTCGCCAAGATGCTTCTTTGGGAGGCCTCTTGGGGTCTTTTGAGAAGCCGTTCGGGGGCGCCTGGGAGGCATTTTTGAACTTCTGGGGCCTCTTGGGGCCTCTTTTGGGCCTCCTGGGGGCTTCCTGGGGCCTCTTGGGGGCCTCTTGGCGGCATCTTGGGGCCTCTTGGGGGCCTCTTGGGGGCCTCTCGGGGCCACCTGGGGCCCTCTTGGGGCGGAAGGCTTGAGTTTTCGGTTCGTGGTCCCCCTCTTGGGCCCCTCTTGGGGCCGTCTTGTGGCCGTCTTGGGCCGTCTTGGGGCGCTCTTGGGGGCCTCTTGGGCCGTCTTGGAGCATCGGATGGCCGAAAAGGCGACGAGGCCCAGATCCTTCCAAAACCATCGTAACATTGATGATTTTGGCCTCTCGGGCCCTCTTCTGAGACCTCTTGAAGGCCACTTGGAGGCCTCTTGGGCCGTCTTGGGGTCATCATCATCGGCGTCTTGGAGCGCTCTTTGGGCGTCTCGGGGGCCTCTTGGGCAGTCTTGGGGACCTCTTGGGTCAGGAGGGAGGGGAGTCGATTGCGCCCCTCCCCTCGGAGGCCACGATCCTCGTGAGGGGTGTCGAAAAATTGCCCGGTCTGGCATCTCTGATCCGAGTGTCCCGGGGGTCTCCTGGGGTACTCTTCGTCCAGGGACCCCCAGGGGCGGCCGCGCGCGCGAACTAGAATATCGTTAACCAGTTACTGGAGATCTTAGCACGCCCTTGGCCCGTTGGGCCGGCGAATTACAAGGATGAGGGTGGCCACGATGACCAGCGATTGCGATGATGTTGGTGATGGTGATGATGGCGACGAAGAGGATGACAAATTGCTGCCTGCAGTGGTATGAATGGAATGACGGTGATCCTGGCGTCGGTTATATTAGCGACGAGAGTGGCAGTGATAGCGAAGATGCAGATTGTGACTATGGTGGTTGCACGGGTGGCGGTAATGATGACGGCGATTAGTATGATTATGATGATGTGGAGTAGGATAGGGATGATGACAAGGGGGATGAGCGGGATTCGGTAGGAGAAGGACGTCTCAGCATCCTGTGCGAAAGCCTGGCGGATCATTAGCTGGCTCCTCTAACGTCTCTTCCTCATCGTTATGGTTCCTTTCTGGATCATGTGTGCCTTCTCCTTTTCCTTGTCCTCGTCCGCCTCTTCCCTTCTTTCTGCCTCATCTGCTTCTCCGCCGCCTTATTTGCGTGCGCTTACCTGCCACCTCAAGCTTTGGGCAACGCAGCTCAGCGGTGGCCCCTGTGTCAAGAAGAACAGAGGGCTGAGGGGAGGAGAGGAGCAGGAGAGAATGGGAAGATGGAGCAGGGGGGACTGAGCAGTGTGGCCGAGGGGGGGAATGGGAGGATGGGATGGAGGAGGGAGGCGGACGAGGGTGGAGGGGGAGGAGGGATAAGGAGGGAGAGAGGAGGGATGACGAGCTAGGTCCGCTCGCGCCATATCGGACATCCCCCCCTCCCACCCACCCGTTCCCATGGCGCTGATGCTCCTCCACCCGCCGACCCGTGTCACAGCGGACCTGAAGTTCCAAGTGGGGCCCCATGGTGTTGTGAGCCAGTGGAGATGTCGACCTGCGTACAGGGGAGGAGGAGGTGGCGGGATGAGCAGGAGGACGAGCAGGAGGAAACTGAGGAGGAGGAGGAGGAGAAGGATGAGGAGTAGCAGGAAGGAGGAGGACGAGGACGATCAGCAGCAGCAGTAGCAGCAGGAGGAGCTGAAGTGGAAGAAGCGGAAGGAGTCGTATCCAGAAAAGGTGGTCCGCGTTGGGGCGACAGTGCCGTGTGGAACGGTTGGAGCCGAACGCCGATCCTAATCTGTGTCCCACGCGACAGCGGCAACACCATCTGGAAGAACCGAAAACACGACCAGAGTGTAACAAGCAATCGGGGCACCACAATATTTGTGAGTTTTGTGTGTAGAGGACAGTACGCGACAAGGGGCGGGCAATTCCCAGGCCATCCTCGGGGAGAGTGGCAGGCAGCATTCATATGTATTACTTTTGGTTGGACGGCGAATGAGATGTCTCCTCGATCCCCTGAAACCCTTACCACATCTGGGCGAACCCTGGGCAAAGTCCAAGGACTCCTGCCTCGCCTTCTCCCCCTCCGTTTCGTAGCCGTTCTGGCTCAAGCGATTCTGGAGCGCCGTCACAAGTTTAGGAGAAGCCGTGCGAGCTGGGCAGCGCATCACACTTCGGCATGCAGCAGACTCTCCTGTCAGGAGCCTGCGCCTTCGGCCTCGTGCTGATGCTGCGCACGCTTGGGCACACCACCGCCATGGATACTCGGTTGAAGTCGGTTGCGCGGAATGTGTGGGTGTATACGGTTGCTGGAAGCCCTCCTGTGGTTCTCGATGGCCAACAGAACCAAGGATCTGGCAGACACGCTGCGCGGGATGGTGATGGTCAGATGGGTCCTAAGCCTCCTTGCCCTCGCACTTTGAAGGCTGTTTATGCAGATATCCACGATGGCGACAAGAAGGAGGTCACAATCTCTGACAGTGTGTTGACCATCAGGCCAAGTGGCAATAATCAGACATGGGTCGTCGAGGCCCATCTGGACCGCGACACGTGCAGTGCTAACGTTGATTCTGTAGGCTTACGCCACACCGCCGACCCCTTGTTTTTTTGGAGGCAATCTCGGACGACGGAGGCGGAAGTGGCGGCGAACCAGTGCGACTCGAAAGATGCGGGGGAGAGGTTTTGCAGGGCGTGCGCCCGCAACGAGAAGGGTGGGCGGAACGAGAAGGCGGATGCAGAGAATCGCAAGCGGAAAGCAGAGGCGGACGCGAAGCCGCTGACGTGCGCGGCGTGCAAAGGCGCGTTCTCGGACACGAAACATTTGAAGCAGAAGCAAGTGGAACATCATCGAGCGGCGAAAGGAGCTAAAGTGGTGTGCAGAAGCTGCGAGGAACTCGGGTTCACAGCGCGCAGTTGCCAGGCTTATCGGTGCAGCGGCGCGTGCAAGAGAGGACTACCAAAGTCGGCGTTCCCCGACCCGCACAATGTCCCGCGCGACGCAAAGAAGGGCACCCTAAAGTGCAAGACGTGCAAATGATGCCCAATCGGTTGCGCGTACTGGGCAGAAAGGGAGGACGGGAAGAGGAGGATGGGGGGTGAGGCGGAAAATGGGGGGGAGAAGCATCGGTGAGGATGAGCTGAAGCGGGGCAGGAAGAGGAGGAGGGGAACGAGGAGGAAGTGTAGGAGGAGGAGGAAGAGGAGGAGGAGGAGGGGGACGCTGAGATGATGTTCCGGGTTATGGGGCTGGGCGCGACTCGAAAAATTGGTGTGTTCGGAGATGTCCGATGGGATCTTGCGGGGGGGCTTCTTGCGGGTTTCTTGGAGCAGTTTCGAAGGCTCTTGGGGGCCGTTTTGGGGCCTCTTGGTGGCTTCTTGGGCGCCTCTTGGAACGTCTGGGAGGCATTTTTGGGGCCTCTTGGGGCCTCTTTGGGGCCTCTTGGGGCCTCCTGGGGGCCTCTTGGGGCGTAAGGCTGGGTTTTCCGGTGCGTGGTCTCTCTCTGGGGCCCCTCTTGGGCCCGTCTCCGGGAGGTTCTTGGGCCGTCTTGGGCGGCTCTTGGGCCGTCTGGGGGCTCTCTTGGGCCGCCTTGGGCGGCTCTTGGGCCGTCTGGGGGCTCTCTTGGGCCGTCTTGGGGGCGTCGTGGATGCCTCTTGTGCCGTCTTGGAGCAGTCTTGGGAGCTTCTTGGGCTGTCTTGGAGCGTCGAAAGGCCGAAAAGGCGAAAATGACGAAAACATTTTTTAAAAAAACAATGAAAATCAACGATTTTGGCCTCTTGGGGCGCTCTTCGGGGGCCTCTTGGAGGTCTCTTGGGGCGTCTTGGAGGTCTCTTCGGGCGTCTTGGAGCCCTCGTGGGGCGTCTTGGGAGCCTCTTGGGGCCTCTTGGGCGCTTCTTGAGGCGTCTAGGCGGTCTCTTGGGGCGTCTGGGGGCCTCTTGGAACGTCTGGGAGGCCTCTTGGGGCCTTCTTGGCCCGTATTTGGGCCCTTTTGGGCCCGGAAGAGCGTCGTGAGTCGCTCGTAGTCGCCCCCCCCCCCCCTCCAAATCGACCGGACCGGGTTCCCGGGGGAGGGTTGGGGAGGGGGAAGCATCTCACACGCCGATGACCCAAGGGGTCGGCAGATTTCAATGTACCTGGCAAGCCGAGCCCGCCGCCTGTGAACATTACAGTGTCTCTCTGGTATTCAGCGAACTATTCCGACTACAAAACAGAGTGGGAGTTCACAGATCCAAGTGGCACATTGGCTCCACGTAATTTCCCATTGAACAGGTGGGTGCAGTTAAAGTGGCAAACGAAGCCATTCAAAGCGAAATGCCTTGGGTACAGCAACGCTTACCAGGGAGTGTTTGCCGACATGCACGACGGTGACAAGAAGGAAGTCACCATATCCCACACGTCTGTGTCAATTAAGCCACGTGGGAACAACCAGACATGGGTTGTGAACACTCAGTTGGACACAGAGTCGTGCACTGCGAATGTCGATTTCAATGTGCCAGGCAAGCCAAATCCTCCGCCAGTGAACCTTCTAGTTTCGTTCCTTCACAATCACGCCCCAACTGGCTTGTTCAAGTACGAGGCAGAGTTCACAGACCCCAGCGGGACCCTGGCGCCAGCCGACTTCCCACTGAACCATTGGGTCGAGCTCGAATAGCGGACCAACGGTAAGCATCTGAAAGGCCTCGCCCTCTTCAGCCGCCGCTCCTTCTGATTGGCTGCGCGGTTGGGTTGGCAGAGTGGTGGATTGGTTGGCAGGTTGGTGAAGTGGCTCACTGGCTGGCTTCGGAGGGCACCAACTATACACCAACACCGATCCTGGCCCAGGATCACCCTGGGCCCAGGATCGGTGTATATGCCTTCTCGCGCAAGGCAGGAGGGCGTATACACCGATCCTGGGCCCAGGGTGATCCTGGCTAGGATCGGTGTTGGTGTATAGTTGGTGCCTTCCTATGGCTGGCTGGTTGGGAGGATGGCTGGAAGGGCTGGCTGGCTGGCAGGCTTGCTTGCCGGCCGGGTGGCTGGTTGGTTCGCGGATCTGGCGGGCTCGCCGGCAGTTCTCAAGGAGGGACTATGGCCTCGGGAGTGCGGACCTCCAGCTTTGGCGACGGGTACACATGGTTCCTTTCTAATTCGGGAGTTCTTTGATTTTTTTTGGGGGGCCAGGATCCTTTCATTTCTGGGCCTCTTCTCAGGCACTGAGGGGCCAGGAAGAATTAGGAACGAGCACAATTAGAAATGAGCATGAGTAGAAATGAGCGACGTGTAGTGGCCTCGAGCTCGATCAATATTTCTTGGCATGGGATCGCGGCTTCGGGGAGCGCGGACGTTTTTCTGAGTCCGGAACAGTGGTTTCGGGAGCTCGGGGCAGTCGTGTAAGGGATCCTGGCATTGGCAGCGCGGGCCTGTCGTGTTTTGCAAGCGGTCGTGGCCGCGGGCATTTCGGCATCCTTGGGAGCGCGGGGCCACTTGGTTTTTTAAAGGGTCGTGGTATGAAGCGCGAGATGCGTGCTTGGGAGCGCTGACATAGTGAAAGGGATCGTGGCCTCAGGAGCGCCAATCCATGGCCTTCCGAGGGATCGTGGCTTCTGAAGCCTGCGCATTTCTTACGAGGATTGTGGACTTGGGAGCGCGTGGAGTACGGTGCTTTGGCGAATGACCACTTACACACCTATTCCTATTCATGTAATTTTATTATCCGGATCCCCCCCCCTCCCCCCCTAAACCAGACCCCCCCCCCAAGGAAACCCCGGACACCCTTTCGGACTTCTCGGCGGCCCCCAGGACGCCCTTGGAAAAGGTCCGCTGGCCCCTCCGGACCTCCCAGGGCGCCTTGCAGGGCCTTGCGAGCAGATTCAAAGCGATCAGAGGGGTCATCGGAGAGGCGCAAGAGAGACCCAAGACAGCAGAAGAGCGCTCCAAGAAGAACCTCGATGGCCCGAAGACGCCCCAAGAGGCCGTTAAGAGAGCCCCGAAGAAGCAACAATCGCCCCATTCCCTTAGGAAAAAAATTACCTTTAGCATATCCGATTTCTTTGGTTTTCGCAGCGTCCAAGACGGCCCGATGAGCCCCTGATATCGCCCCAAGACGGCCCAAGAGGCCCCCCAGAGGGTTTGAGGACGGCCCGAGAGGGCCCCAAGGCTGCCCCAGAGAGCCCCGAGACTGCCCACAAGAAGCTCAAGATGCCCCCAGAAGGCTCCCAAGAGAGACACCCGTAAGCCATGGTAGACCCCCAAGAAGGCCACCGGAGCCCCCAAAAGGGCCCTAAATGGTTTCAGAAGACCTCTTGAGGGCCCCAGCTCCCCATGACGGCCCAAGAAGGCCCCAGGACGGCCCAGGAGGGCCCCAGGACGGCCCAAAAGAGTTCCAAAAACGCCCAGATGGCGTTATCTGTGCGCTCTTTGTCTCTCTCTCTCTCTCTTTCTCTCTCTCTCTCTCTATCTCTCTTTCTCTCTCTCTCTTTTTTTTTTGTTTTGTTCTCTCTCTCTCTCTCTCTCTCTCCCCCCCTTCCCCCGTGTAACTGTTCGTCGACCTCCACGTTCGTGGCACCCGATGGCCATCCTCATTCGCCCGCTCCTTGCTCTGGACCTTCTCCCCGTTTCTCCCCCCCTCCTCCCCCCTTCTGCCCCCCTAGTCCCCCCCACTCATCCCTGCTCCCTTCCCGTTCCCCGTCCATGGACAGGTGCCAGCGCAACAGTTTGATGCTTCGTCGTTTGCCAGCACCTTCGCGAGTGGAAAAACATCATTTATTCTCACTTCTGTGCACATGTGTGCAAGCGCATCGGGCGAGCGCGGTGTACACCAGGGATACCGCCGTTTGCGAAATAAACGCCCACGTGTGGAAGTACCGAGATCCCCGCCCCGCGCCCCGCATTTCAATGTTGGCCACCGAACACGCCGAAGGGGAGTGCGAAGCGTTGCGAAATAAACGCCCACTTATGTTGGACTGCCCAGCCCTCCCCGTCAACCTTGAAATGCGGGGGAAAGGGGGCGTGCTTCGTCGTCTTGTTTTCGATCCCTAAGATGGGCGTTTATTTCGCAAACGGCGGTGCCCCCCACGAGCGTCTTATAGTGACACAGCGCTGTACATTCACATACATATATATATATATATATATATATATATATATTCCCATATTTACATGTTGTATGTATACATATATATATATACACGTGTATACAAAAGTGTGTATGTACACCCTATTTGCACATCCATATGCCTTTTCCCCTATGTGTGCATACACCTATGCATGCACGTACGGGCATGCATGCATTCACGCCGCCACGCAATGCGAGGCTATTCACGCGACGCTACCCGTGCGGAATCGTCCGGTGGCGACACAACGCTGATGACCCCCCTTACTCTCCCCTGCAGCTTCCGTCCACTCTGCCCTGTCTACCTCGTCTCGCACTTCTACCCCTTCGAGGCGTCATTTCCGCGCAAAGACGATGGATGCGCTGCCGGGCGCCACGCGCGCGCACGCGTAACCCCACTGGGCGGCGCCAGCGGCGCCCGCGCGCGCGTGCTCACTGGAGTGCAAAAGCTGACAGGCGGGCGCTCGCAAACCAAGTGGACTTGGCCAGCGGTGCCCGCACGCGCGTGCTTCCGGAAGCGCAAAAGCTGAGAGGCGGGCGTGCGCAACCCAACTGGACTTCGCCAGCGGTAACCGCACGCGCACCCTCGCGAGCATGCAAAAGACGCGGGGCGGAGCGCTGGCCCGGCGCTGCCCGCGCGCCCCCTCAGGGCGAAACCGGAGAGCCGATTTGCCCAAGAAGTCTGCGCTTCTGGAGCGGGAGCAGCAAGGCCCACGAATTCAGACGGACCCAGTCCGCGGGGAGCACCTCGTCCACGGCAACCACGCTCATCGCGCGGACATCCGCCAGCAAGGCGTCTGCCTGCGCGCGGGGTATGCGCGCGTCGGACATGAGGTCGTCGAAGCCGCTCACAGGCGGCACGCCCGCGTCTGCCGCGGCCGGCGCAGCGGGCGCCGGGCGGAAAACGCCGACGGCGTCGAACTTTGCTGCCTCCCGGACGATCCACGCGGTCATGCACGGAGCACACGAGAGTACGTCCTGCAAAGAGCCGTCCGACAAGACGGAGGTGAATGGGAACTGCCTCACGCGATTCTGCATGTGCCAGATGTCCTCCACTCCCACCTTATTCGTCGTCTCCCAGAGGCCCTCCAGCTTGCCCGTGAAAACGGCGCCGTGGTTCCAGCAGACGTCCTTGTTCCCGTCGTTGAAGGACTGGGAAACCTGGATCTCGGTGTGCTGGCCGACGAACAGAGACAGGAACAAAGAGACGGGGACGGTCTTCTCGTGGGCGAACTCAACCGGCCGGAAGTCGTCCCAGAAGATGAACCGCTTCGTGCCGCTGGCCAGGTTCCGGAGTCCAAAGGAGGAGCCCAAGGCAGGCTTGTGCAGAACCCGTTTCGGAGTGAACAAGTCGTCGAAAAGGTAAACCACCGTGCTCTTCCCGGAATTCGACGGCCCCACCAGGAAGGGCACCCTCGTCGTCTTCTTCGGGCCGACCATCAGAATGTCCCGCAGAGACGCCGCGAGCTCCCGAACGTCGAAAGAAGCGGCGCTGCGGGAGAAGATGGTCTCCACGGCTGACCTGTACGAGCACGCCGGGCCATGGGGACATGTCCCCTCAGCGCAGCGGCACACGAGCGTCCAATCGTCCACCGCCTCGAAGGCCGCGTTCTCGCGGGCAGACGCCCACTCCTTCGTCTCCTCAAGGTCCGCCGTCAGCTTGCGCACTCGGCTGCGGACGAACCGCTGCATGGCCTTCGTCCCGCGGTCCTGGACGTGCGCCATCAGGCTGTCCTTCGTCCACAAGTGCTTGGCGATGATGGTCGACGTCAAGTCTACGAGGTCGAACGTCGTCTTCGTGCCCACCGCCCCGGCCGCCTTGTCCGTGGCCTCCCGGCGCTTCACCCACACGCCTGCCACGTATGGTTCCCGCGACATCTCAAAGAGGTCGATGGCGTCGTTCTCGCGCGCGAACCCGGCCCAGTCTGGCTGCCACACCCACGGGGCGTCGTCGACATCTGGTTTGGCTGGGGTCTCCATATACCCGTACCTCGCGGCGCTCCACGTTCGCTGGTGGGAACCAGAGAAATGGCTCGGCAACAAATGGCGCTCACGCAGAGTGCGCTTGGCCTGCTGGAAACGGCCCGACCTAGTCAGCTTCACAGCAACGTGGAAATGGATCGCGCCGTCTTTGTGCTTCTCCTGGAGCACCACCGCCATGGACACGAGCGCTTGGCCGTCCGGTTCCTTCCTAGGGCGGCCGCCCGCGGACCCAGTCGGAATCGGATTGTTGAATGCGTCGGCCACTGCTTTTCCGATGTCCTCCCGGCTCATCGCGCCAAGATCGCGGCGCTGGCGGCCGTCGGGAAGGGTCGCGTCCAGGACGCGCGATATGGTCACCAAATAGACCCACTGCAACGAGTCCGGCTTCTCGGCCTCAGCCAACACGGTCTCCAGAGGCGACGCGGCGTCCTGGTCGGGCTGCGTTTCCGAAACGACCTCGGTTGTCAGGCTCTTGAACTCGTGCTTGCGTTGGTCCAAAGCATGCTCTTGCAAACCGAGTTTCAAAGCGACCTGGCGGCGACACTCACGCAGCGAAATGTGTTTCAAGTCCTTGCCTA